GTTCTATCCACTGTTCACGTTGGCAGTTCCAGTCAGTCTATCCAGTTGTCCGTGGGCATTAGAACAGTGCGGTTTATCCACGCGATATGTTGCATTACTTTTAACCTTCGTCGTGGATTCGTCTCGTCTCGTCTCGTCTCGATTGGCCAATCGAACGCGATAGAAGTGAGAAAGCGAGGAGATTCTCAATCAGGGAACAGGCAGAACGAAAAACGGAAGCCGAGATCGATCAAATTTCGTCGAACGTGCCGGAAATGGTCACGAGACGCGAGGTCAAACTGACACGGCTGTGAAGCAAGATAAGATCAATCTGCGATCTCAAGCTAAATCAAGAAACCACTTAGCTATCAAGACACGCCAAGGCGGGGGGAGGGGGTCAACGAGGAAACGGCCCCGGAAGGAGGAACAAAATTGAGCCAAGGCTGGCAAGCGTGAAAATGGCGAGCGTCGACAGGAATCTGGAGGAGCTGATGGCTCACCTAGGCGAGTTTGGTAAATATCAATGCTGGCAATTCTCGTTGCACATTCTCGGCGGATTGACGGCCGGCCTGCACATGATGACGCTGTTGACAGTCGCGGCGGTGCCACCGCACGCTTGCAACGTTCCCCAATCCGCGTTCGCGATCAACTCGACCAAATGGAACAGCTCGGAGGACGCGATTCTTCCTCGAGCGATCGACGCGTGTTACTATTCGGACGCCGAGAACGTGGTCAAGCAATGCGACTCGTGGACCTACGACACGCAGTATTTCCAATCGTCGCGAGCGATGGAATGGAACTCGGTTTGCTCGCGACGATGGATGGGCGCAGCGGCCCAGTCGTCCTACATGTTCGGCGTGTTTATCGGAGCGGTGACGTTGGGCACGTTGGCCGACAAGTACGGCAGGAAGATAATATTCTGCGTGTCGGCCGTTGCCCAACTGATCTTCGGCGTGACCGTGGCGTTGGTCAACGACTTTTACGTTTTCCTCGTCTGGAGGTTCCTCTACGGTATCTTCGGTTCGGCCGGCGCCTACATAACAGGATTCGTGCTGACGATGGAACTGGTCGGACCAACGAAGAGGACCGTTTGCGGGATGATGTTCCACCTGGCGTTCGCGATCGGTTTCATGCTGGTGGCCGTTTGGGGCGCGTTGATCAAGGACAGAATGTGGTTGCAAATCGCGTACGGCCTTCACAGCGCGCTACTAGTCGGCCACTGGTGGCTCATGGACGAGTCGCCGCGATGGTTGTGGGCCCAGGGTCGCGTCAGCGAAGCGGTGGCCATTGTGCGAAAAGGCCTGAAGATGAACGGCGACAGCAGCGTTGACATAGACGCGGAGAAACTGCTCGGCGAGAGGAAGATTACGCACATCGAAGAGAAGAAGCGTTCGTACGGTGCCTTGGATCTTTTCAAGACCCCGAACCTTCGGAAGAAAACGTTGAACGTGTGCTTCGGCTGGTTCGCCAATTCCATCGTTTACTACGGGCTGTCGTTGAACACGGGCAACCTCGTTGGAAATCCGTTTCTCATGCTGTTCCTCAGCGGCCTGGTGGAGTTGCCCTCGTACCTGCTCATGTGCTTCCTGATGGACCGAAGCGGAAGAAGGTGCGTGGTCAGCACGTTCATGCTGATCGGCGGCGTGTGCTGCATAATCGCCTCGAGCATCCCGACGGACATCGATCTGGCCGCCACGATCATCGTGGCGATCGTACTCTTTGGCAAGGCTTGCATTGCTGGCTCGTTCGCCGTCATTTACAACTACACCGCCGAACTGTTCCCGACGGTCGTGAGAAACACCGCCTTGGGCATTGGATCCATGTGCGCGCGTTTCAGCGGCGCTCTGACACCGATGATCATGCTGCTGAACACTTTGAACCCGAAAGTCCCCGCGGCGCTGTTCGGCTTTGTCGCGCTGCTGTCCGGTTTCCTGTCGTTGTACCTGCCGGAGACGGTGAACCAACCGATGCCCGAGACCATCGAGGACGGTGAGAATTTTGGCAGACACGACACGTGCTTCGCCACGTGTCTACGCTCGAGGAGGAAGAGCAACGCCAGTTGCGAAGTGAGCCTGAGTCAACTGGCCGACAAAGAGGAGAAGGAGAAGCTAAATCAAGGGGAAAACGGCAAGGAAAATTCTCATTGAATCGAGGAATGCGTAGATCGTTACGAGAGCGTCGCGATTGAACGAACGTACCTGCTGCTGAATTGTTTTCTGAATTGTCAAACTGCGGATTTTTGTGCGTCTTTGAAACTTCCTCGTGCATAAAGAAATGGAGCTTAAATAGAGAATTGCTTCTTCTACTTCTGTTTATTGTAATTATCACTCTTCTTTGCACAGTTTGGATATTTTTGCATAATCTATGTGCATTGTATATTTTTACATGTTTCTACATGTATTTTTGCACCTTCGAGTTTTCTATAAATGTGTAAAAATCCGCAGTCTACTCTGTCATCCACGGCGATGAACTTTTATCGGTAGATTCTCGAACCCTTACCATACGTAGTAAGACAATTTTCAATGATTAGACACGTGATTATTTATATTTTTAAAGTGACAAGGAGACTAAACATTTTAATAAATATTCTATTCGTGTATCATACAGTTTTACACGTTACATACTTAGAAAAATTTGAGGGAAATAAAAAATTCAGAAAAAGAATAACTTAAATTTTCCATAAATACGTGTTATGCAGTAGTTATTTATTGTAATTGTCCAATTTATGCTTACGTTTATCGGCGATAATGTCAATCATTGAAGAAGCCTTGGTTCGTGTTTTTCATTTTTTTTTTTTCATTTAATTCTTTACATCTATATCAACCATCACAATAAGTTACGCGATTCAATTAGAATTATAAGTTGAATTGAAATTTAAATGAGAAATTTAATGTTTGTTTGAAAATTGCTTGTAACAATAATTCTGCAGCATTATAATCCAGTGTACACAGTATCTTAGTTCATTATGCATCGAATCTTCATTATTGGCTATATGCTAATAATTTTTATATAAAATCCATTTCCGTATCTTGAAACACGCGCGCTTCGTAGAATCTTTTTTACGAACCTTTTATTTTCAATCGTTTATATTTAAAGTAATTATTTACGATATTTTATAAAAATATAAAATTTATAATTCATGAAAATCTATTTCTTATCGAATGTATAACTAATATAAAAAATATATTTGTATTATAAAGATATCGTAAATGTATCGGTTTGAATTTGAAGCGTACGCAGTAGATATATTAAAAAAAGACTTGAAAATAGGACCAAAATTTGAAAGACTGAACGTCTCTAAAGCTTTCTCAAACCAGTGTGCCTTTTTTCAACGAATTTTTAACTGTTTGTTAAACATATAATAATGGAAATAAATTGTTACTCGAAGCCTCCTATTAATCTAATTTATATACCTGACGAATTCAATTTTTCGAACAAGTACACAATAATATTTTTAGTAATAGATTTTAATTTTAAATTTTTTAAACTTTGAAAAACACGTAGCATCAATAGCATAGTGTGACTCAAACATAAAGACAAACACACGATTATATTTTTAATATAATTAAAAGATATATATTTGAATTTTAGACTACATTTTAAACTTTGAGAGACAAATAGTATCGATATCGTAGTGTAAATTAAATACAAAACAAAATTTTGATCTACTAAATTTGAAACTGTTTCGCTTCGTAAAAAACATATCGCGTTCTTTCCGTATTTTTCCATTTGAAAATATTATCTGGCTCCACTCTGTTTTTACGTAACAAGTCGTGAAACAGTCTCGTATCTAAATTTCTCCAGCAATTAGAACCAATTACATTTCGTGCAATTTCGTTTTTAAATTACGTAAAGTACACTGTACTAATATACGCAGGAATACATATTGAATTTCGTACAGAGGAAAGGAAATTTTTATGAAAACTGACATAAACTCGCTGACCTGTTGCTTCGCGTGCAACGTGTTCTTTCATTTGCGATCGTTTGCATGCAAGATTAATTCCTTCCCTCGCCAAGTGTCCATTGTCGTTAAGCAAAAGGTATTTCACGAGGGAAGGAAAACAAACTTTCACGTGAGAATGTCATCACGCCATCGATGACGAACAAGGGAAATGGTTGAGCAACTAACCAGTTACTTGATGCAACTCTATTCGCATCCGATTCCACCTTTATTATTACATTATGCACTCGATTTAACGAATGTGCGAATTATTTTTTCCCTAAATTCTCGCAAATGTTGCGAGATTTCTCTTTCGAGAAACTTGAAGAAGAACTTGAATGCTTGGAAATATTTATTATATCTTCTTTCGTAAAAACAAAAAAAAAAAAAAAA